GGGTGCCTGCCTGGCAAGTGCAAGGTTCTGAGTTCAATCCTCAATACAAAAAAAAACCAAAAAAAAAAAAAAAAAAAAAAAAAAAAACCTGTGGGTCAGGTGACCAGAGATATAGTTCAGTGGCACAGCACCTGCTTGGCAACCGCAAGGTCTGAGTTCAGTATCTGGTACCAATAAATAAGTAAATAAATAAGTAGTGGGGTGAGACTGCAACTCAGTGTGAGGGCCCTGGGCTTAGCCCTCAGTATCCATCCCCCTAAAAAAGTAATTAAGAAACATTGCATACTGTTGCTTTGCATTTTTTAAAAAATTGTTTGATACAGGGTCTTGCAACGCCGTTCAGACTCATAGTGATCCTCTTGTCTCAGCCTCCCCAGCACTGGGATTACAGGTGTGCGCCACCATGCCTGGTTCTGGGGCCGGCAAGGCATGTGGTACTGAGGGATCAAACTCGGGACCTTGGTCTTGCCAGGCAGGTGCTTATGCCACTGCCGAGCTATCTCCCTAGCCCATTTTGGATATTTTTATTCACTAGTTCATTTTTTATTTCCTTGTGTACTGGGAGTCAAACCCAGGGCGTCTGTAATAGGCAAGGAGCGCCCTGCCAGTGAGCTGCCCCCGAAATTGACAATGAACAAGGATAAACCCAAACACACACTCATACATTCTGAAAGACTTGCAGCTTTTTGTGTTCTGTTTTGCAGGTATTTTGACCCGCTCATTATGGCTTGAAGGGGCTGAGGAGATGGCTCAGTAGAATAAGCACTTGTCTGGCAAGTGCAAGGGCCTGAGTTCAATCCTCAGTTCTGCCAAAAAACTAAAAAATAAAAAATGTGGGCATGATTATGGGTTGAAGTGCTTGTTTAGGAAAACCAAAGAAAGTCAAATAAAATGAAAAAGTCAAATGAATGCTACTTAGTGGGAGTAAGTTCTGTATAAATATATGTGGAATTTGGCTATCCTAGTATTTGACAGCCTGTTTCACTTGTAGTAGGCTAAGTCAACTGGTGATAGGTAGTTAACTTGTTTTTGTCTCTTTTTTGAGAGAGTGTTTTGCCACGCAGTTGAAGCTGGCCTAGAACTGACTTTGTAGCCCAGGCTGGCCTCGGACTCGCAGTGATCCTCCTGCCTCAGCCCCCTAGGGTGCTGGGCTCACAGCCCTGCGCCACCCCCGGGGAGTAGTCCACACCGCAGCTGCCAGGCTGCAAGTGCGTGGAAGCACTGTCACTTCAAGCTGCTTCTGGGTTTCTTGGGTGCTTACAGCGCGTTGTCTCCCCAGGATGACTTCTCCCCCACGAGCAAGCTGCAGCGGCTGCTGGCCGAGTCGCGGCAGATGGTCACGGACCTGGAGCTGAGCACACTGCTGCCCCTCGGCTGCCAGGACCCAAGCGGCGGTACCAAAAGCGTGCGTGTCCCCTCCGGGTACTGGGTGCCGGGCGGTGGGGGTGCGGAGGCCCAGCGCGGGCGTGGCTGTGGGCAGCGCCTTTGTGCCAGCGTCTGCCCCCCAGGGAGGGCGAGCGGCCTGGAGTACAAGAGAGGAAGCCGGGCGGGCGCAGCTCCGTGCTCGCGCAGCAAGCTGCCTCCGGAGTAGAGGTTCCTGCGGAGTTGTTCGTTTGGTTTTTGGTTTTGTTTTCCTTGCAGTTTAGGGACCGGAACCTGATGATACAGGGGAAAGAAAGCCGACTTGCTAGATGTCAGAACTGCCAAGTTCCCATCCTCTAAAAATTAAGGGATGAATTCTAGGAAGCAGGGAGGTTAAGAGTAGTGAGGAGGTTTTTTGTTTTTGCTTTTGTTTTTGCCTTTTTGAGACAGGGTCTTGCTGTACAGTTCAGGCTGGCCTTGAGCTCACTTTGTAGCCCAGGCTGGTCTTGAACTTGCAGCCTCCAGAGTGCTGGGATTACAGGCATGCACCACCACTATCGGCATGAGTAGGAAGAATTTATTGGGAGAAAGAAAGCTTCTGTCTGAGGGGGCCAGAAAGGGGCCTGCAAAGTGGGTTCCCCACAGACGCCTCTTCTCAAGGGTGTTTTATTGAGCAAAGCCAAAGGCGAGGCAGGCTTAAAGTGGGACCGAACTATCATTGATTGATAAGATTCCAAGCGCAGCCGCTTAGGTAATATTGGTCCAGTGGGAAGTCACAGATGGGCGTGAGGTGGGACGGAACTACGGTCACCAGTAAGATTACAGCAAGTGTAGCCCCCCGGGGAACATCGATTAAATGAACCTCAATAGGGAAGCAGGTCCAGTCTGTAGCTAGCAGAGGGACTGACGAGGACCTTCCCGGAAGGGATGGGCGTAGGAGCCTTGTCTGTCACCTAAGGTGTTGGGGTCCATCCCTAGGGAGGACGGGGTGCATCCTTGCTCTTCTTCCTGAGGCCGGGCCTTCGTGCTCGCGCCTCCAGCCTCCAGCCCTGTCTGCTCTGTAATGTGTCTACCTTACTTAGCTGTCTATAACACCAGGGCCTCACACGTGCTGGGCAAGCACTCTGCCGCTGAACTGTACCCCTACCTCAAAACCCCACCTCAAACTCCTGGGGATTTAAAACAAATTTTTTTTTTCAAATTTTATTTTATTTATTTATTTGCAGAACCAGGGGTTGAACTCAGATCCTTGCATTTGCCAGTCAAGTGCTTATCCTACTGAGCCATCTCCCTGGCCCCTTATTTTTTCAAATTTTAAGTTCAAATTCAGCCATGATGGCAAGATCCTGTAATCCGAGCACTGGGAAGGCTGAGGGCAGTCCAGGCTACAAAATGAATTCAAGGCTAACCTGAGGGCGTGGTGGGGCACATAATCCCAGTGCTTGGGAACCTGAGGCAGGAGGATCGGTGCCAGTTCGAGACCAGCCTGGGCTACAAAGTGAGCTCCAGGCCAGCCTGAACTGCATAGTGAGATCTTTCTCAAACAACCAACCTGATCTAGAAAGCAAAACCCTGATTAAAAATCTTTTTTCTTTAAATATCAAATTTCAAATACACATAAAAGTAGGAAGAATAATACACTGGCCTCCGACAATTGTCACGTTCCTATCATTTTTCTTCCACGTTCCTCATCCATACAGTCTTCTTCTAAAGTATGTTAGGAAAAAATATATATATTAGAGCAAATCTAAGAGGCCATGTCATCTTACTCGTGAATATTTCATAGATTATCTACATCAGATAGACTTTTGGCCCCAGCCACTGAGCCGCTGTGAGGTCTCCGCTGCGTCCCCCTTGAGCCCCTGCTTCCCAGCGATGGTCCCCCTTTCCTGTCCCCCCTTCTCCCAGAGCCACCTTCCGCAGGCCACGGGCTGCTTCCCCCGCAGAGGGGATCGTATCGTATGTCTGCTATCCAGAGCCTGCACTCTTTCACCCCTTTGCTGATGGAAGTTGGGGTGATGCCCTGCTTCCCGCCGGCACTGAGGACTGTATCCATATAAGAACTGGACAGAGGAGTGGCAGGAAGACCCTCACCGCCGCCCAGTAGATCGCGATGATTATGAGAAAAGGAAACTGGTGAAGGTGTTTAGGAAGAAATCTGCCTGCAGTGGCGCAGCCACCGAGCACCCAGAATAGGGAGCAGTAAGCCCGCTCTAGGGCACGCCGCGCGCGGGAACACACGTGGTTCCTGGAAGAGACAGGCCTGGCCAAGGACGCTCAGCTGCAGGCTCATGGGATTCAAGTGCGTGCAGCGCACTAGAGCTTGCAGGATTTCCTTGCAGTAGAACACCCCCTCAGTCCCTTGTCACAAGTTTAAAAGCTTTACAGCTTGTATAATGTAACCTTTGGTGGCACTTGGACTAATGTAACTCCTTCATGCAGTAAACTGAAAAGAGACAAAAAAGAAGAGATTTTTGAAAAACTGTATTAGAGGGGCACAGTGGCACACATTTGTAATCCCAGCTACTCAGGAGGCTGAGGCAGGAGGGTCACAAACTCAAGCTCAACCTGGGCAACATAGTAAGACCTTGTCTCCGAAGGGCTGGGGGTGTAGGTCAGTGGTGGAGCACTTCTGGGTCCATCCCTAGACACACACACACACACACACACACTCCAGGGGTCACTAGGAGTCCTACTTTGCATTTGCATATGTTCCTTGAAGTTTCTCTCATCACTAAGTTTCTTTTTTCTTCTTTCCTTCCCTTCTTCTTTATTCTTCTTTCTTGTTCTCTATCTTTTCCATTTTTGTTTGTTGGAGGGCTGAGGATTGAACCCAGGGCCTCGCAATTGCTGAGTGAGTGTCCTGCCACAGAACTATACCCCAGCCTTTTAATTTTTGCTTTTTAATTACATTCATTCATGAAAGAGAGATTGCATCATTTTCCTGGAGGATTTCTCACCTTCAGGGTCTGGCCAACTCTACCCTCATTGATATTTAAAATTTTCTGGCCACCCCCCATTCCTACAGACAGGCATTGGGTCTAGTGACGCAGTTAGGCTCCTGGTCACTTTGGGGCCTGGGATTTGTTGGCTTTGTTTCGGCCCCTGCGTTGCGGTGCCCTTTGCTCCCCACGTCCTTTCAGGAGGTCCAAGCGCCCGGTTGGCCCAGGTGTTGGCTTCAAGGGCACCCCAAGGAGTCTGTCAGCCTGAGGTGTAATATTGTCATGTTTCCCTAAAGTTCACTGAGTGATTTTATCATCCATTGATGATTATTATTTAGATACATGACTTCGTCAGAAACTGCGAGGTGGTAATTTTCTAGATCTATCGTTCTTTCAGGAAGTGTTTCACACATTAACTGCCTGGCTTATTCTGAACATGGTAACATTTCAGCAGCAGGCTTCCCTCAGATTTCTAGCCCCAGGGTACATAGTGAGAGGAACACAGGGCTCGAAATTGGGACAGTTGTCCGCTGTCCTGATGGTAAAATAGGAGCTCAGACTGATGCTGTAGGAGTCATGACGCCTGCCTTGGGTGTGCTGTGTGCGCAGCTAAGGATGTTTGACATGCGGGTGGTGGCACAAACCTGCAATCCCTGTACCCTGAGAGGCTGAGACAGGAACACTGAAAGTCTGAGGCCGACCTGGGCAGTTTACTGACTCGAGGACGCTCTGTTCCAAAATAATAAAGGATTGCAAATATAGCTCAGTGTGAAGGCCTGGGTTCAATTCCTAATATGAAAAAAAAAAAAAAAAAAGCAAGCCATGGAGCCTTGGAAGTAAGAGCTTTCTGTATCCCTGACAGAAGATCAAAATAAATGCAGAGTCCTGTAAGCTGGGTGTGGTATGCACGCCAGTGATCCCAGCGCTGGGCTGAGGCAGGAGGACCATTCCAAGTTTGAGACCAGCCTGGGCCCAGAGAGAGTTCAAGGCCACTCTGTAATACATGGGGGACCCTGTCTCCAAAAAAATGAAGAAGTTCTGTAAGAGCACTGAATGTTTTCCCACTAAAATAATCCAAGTGCTTAGCAGGTAGGGGACTTACTGAAATATAACTCACTTGCAATAAAATGAAGACATTTATTAAGAATGTCTTTAGTTCCTGAACTGGTACTTTATTGAAAATCTAGTTAGATCACATGGGCTGAACAAGGAGGGAGCCGGGTGTACGCGCTGTGAGCCAGTATTCCACTCGGGATGCGGCCGCGGCCAGGCTAAGAAGTCTCCCTCATGCTCTTTGAAACGAGCTCTCCTCCCCAGCCCAGCCCATTACCGACCTGACTGGGATCATGAGAGACTAGTTTTGCCTGTTCCAGACCTGCAGATAAGCGCGGTCAAACAGTGTGTGCGCTTTATCTAACGTGGCAGACGCACTCGTGTGGGGCAGGCAGGCTTCTCTCCCTTCCAGATGTGGCCGCAGAGGCCTTCCTAGCCTGTTGGTGGGACATTTGACTTGTTTCCAGGTTAAAGCTTGCCAGTGAATCTGAGTATTGTAGCAGGACTCCAGGGTCCCATCCCCAACACAGCCCCTTTTCGTTTTGGTTTTTGAGACGGGGTAACATCGCGGAGCCCATGTGCACCTGGCCTTAGACTTGGATCCTCCTGCCTCAGCCTCCTAAATGCTGTGATTCCAGGCATCGCCACCCCCAATTTAAAGTCATACCAGTCTTTTTGCTTTGGTTCTGGCATTGCTGGCCCTCACAGCCCCAGCACCCACCCTCCCAGCAGTGTTTGCCTTTCGAGGTCAGGTCCCTGAGCTGCTCAGCTGCTGGGGCTGGGCTCAACCGGGGCTCCTCCTACCTCGCGCCCAGTGCTAGGCCTGCAGGAGCGCACCACCGCGCCCAGCCGTGATTTCACTTCCTCAGAGTAAATGCCAAGAGGCAGAATTGTTGGTTTTAAAATAGGTGTGTGTTTGACCTCTTAATAAAGTGCCAACTTGTGTCTCAAGTTGGCTCCACCGTTTTACACTCCTGCCAGCTGCGTATGAAAGTGCTGGCACTCCGGGCCTCGCTGGCCTCGCTGTACAGAGCTCTGCCTGTCTCTT